TCGAAAAATTGAATAGAAGATTAATTTCAAGTGAACGAATATTATGATGTCTGAGAATATTTAAACGCCACAGCAATGCATTTGATTCTGCACAAGAGATTAATGTTAAATGTATTTTGTGCAAAAAATTAATGTCGAATGATTGTACATTCTGCGGAAGAAATTAATATTAAAAGTTGTATGATTGCTTATAAATTACATATTCGTTTGTAGAGTGGATTTGTAATAATCGAGCACAGTGATTTTGTTTAATTTGTAACAGAAAATTCTGCGACAAGGAAATACCTAAGATTTAAAATTAAAATTTGAATGTGTAACATCATAGAAGGAATTATAGAGACAATAATAAAACAACGGCAATTTATAAATTTCCGATAGCCAAATAGAGCTAGTATAAATCCGATAATAGTGCAGTTAGGTTCGTACGCGGCGCCTACAGTGATCTCGTCGTGAAGATGTCGCTTACGCGTGCGTTGAAGTCTCCGGAACGGCTAGAATCATTCTCATCATTAGGACGTAATTTTCGAAGAACCGCTCATCCTATCCAGCTGAAATTTCTTTCACCGAAGCACCTCTTGTCTGTCTTTACAAGATTATCTTACCACCTAGTAGATTATGCAAACAATTTACCAAAAGAAAAATCATTTATCGAAGCATTAATAATTCTCTATCAAAACTTCCAACTTCATTGCCTTTGGATCGCGATGTTATAAAATAATAAAAATGCTGAACTTATATTCAGAACTTAAAGAACGGTATTCAACAAACATTAAATTCACAAAAATATTATTTCCGTATAATTTTAAATTACCGTATAATATCTCGAGCAAAAAATTCCTACATACCGAATAACTTAATATCATTGAACGTACCGAACAATCTTGAGCAGAAAGTTTAGAGATAAGAAAAATTCGAGGATAATGTATTCTACGTTTCTGGAATATCTCTGTCAACAAATAGCGCGTGACAGTGATCGTGCAAGGTGTAGGAACGAGGTAAACACCCGGACACGCATTACACGGAGGGACGTAACGTAATTAACTCATTGATCGCACGCTAGGATGAACAATAACCTTTGTGCGTTACTCGTGTACCAATTAATATCATTGAGACGAGGTTCGACGTACACGTGTGCACGCGCGAGTGTGTACACGAGCACGTGTGCCGAGAGACAGCGATAAGAAAAAATTGCATACAGATCAGATAAGCGTTATCCGTGCGTTTATCTCTACGCACTCACAATGACTTTCTCTCCCCCTTCGTTGTCTTTCTGCCCTCTCCCCTTCCCCTCCTTTTCTCTACGGCGGACACGTTGCCCGAGAAAAAGGAAAACGAATCAGCTGGGCGGTGTGTCGTTGTCGATTGTCAATTAATCGCGAACCTTAGCACGGGTTTATCCCGTGCGTTTCTTGACTAATGAACGATAGCATGTTTCGCTGTGAATGCTTAATCGTCATCCTTCTTTTACCTTGTTCGTTTGCACAGAAGCGTGAACATCTGTTCGAGGTCTTTTTCGAAACAAAGTTTAATCGATGAGTTTCAATAGGAAGAATTATAGTTCGGTGAGTTTTTCTTTTTGTAATTTTACAAAATGTCTAGCGTCAATTTGGTATTTGAGTTGAGGATTTGAAAATTGATTTTCATAAATAGACCGTGGATTTTATGCCTTTATGAGAAAAATTAGCTGGCGAAATATAAAACAGTGAGAACAATAGAAGAAGTGCAAAATGTTTCGTGTTTACATTGCTGATCTTTTTGAAAAATAAAAATCGTCTGCACCGATTGTGAGGTTTAGAATTATTTAAGGATTGAAAATAATGTATGTTCTTTATTATTTCAAAATTCACCTATCCAATCTCACCACAAATGTATAAAAATTACGCAGGTCTGCTTACGTCATCTTCAGTCTAGTTGCGTCATCATCAATGTACTAACAATAGAAAAGAAGATCAGTTTCTATTAAATGCCAGTTTGTTGCACTTTACTTTCCATACAGTAATAAATAGACTGCGGATCGTTGTGCAAAATAAAAATTGTTTCCATTAATTGTCAGATGCAGGAACTGAACAGGTATTTATTTATTTTCGTAATATTTACAACAAGTTGACAGTAGTACAATAATATTCTCAAATTGTTTAACTGTTTTTACTGTTTTGTATTTGATCTACTCTCAATTTTATTATAAGCACATAAAATTGATATACAATGTTCAGCTTCAGAGTTGAATCTCAAAGACGAGTAAAATGTTAATGCTTTGAGAAATGACTGGACAATTTCTCCGAGCATCTCAGCTGCAAATTGACTACCTAATCGAGACCAACATCGAGAGAATTATACAGTACTTATCTATATATATATATATATAAAAATACGTAAAGCGATACTTACCGCATAAAAGAAGAAACACAAAGTCTTTGTTTTGTAATCTTCAGATGGAAGCACAGAAGAAGATTGGCTGAAGGCGAACATATTAAGCTGCAGACCCATCCTGAAACTTCGCCTACGTTCCGTTGCTTAGAATCATTAACAATTCCCCTGGATTTAATAGCCCTATCTCTGAGTCGAGCGATAAATCTTGTCAAATATTATACCAATATAAATTAATATATAGTGCGTAGTAAATTTTCTGGACGGCATACGTAGGTTTACACGGGACAAGCTTATAAGAAGAACCCCTTTCCGGTTTATAGTTGCCGGAGAGGGTCCCCCGGTCGCCGTTTCCAAGTCTAATTAATTAAACGGGAACTTGTAATGTTTCCTATGTGTCAATTAATTCGTTAAGCGCCGCCAGTTTTTAAATTCTCTACGGATATTCGCTAGTTTGTCAATTTTTCGAACGCTAATCACGCGAATCCTTCGAGATGCGGTAAACAGAATAAAAAGAACACGTTTGTTGGAGTAAAGTGATTCATTTCTATGTAAGATTGCAGTAAACAAACTGCCAGATTGAAACCAAAGTGAGTTGGACTTGCGACGCTTACTGTTACCTGGTTCGTTCTGCAATCTTTTGCATCTGTTTTCTAGAAACTAAATATGCAGCTATTTAAACAAACTATTCCGATGTACCAGCTGTAGGCCAGTTTTTATATGCATGTTTTGCTTGTAATCAGAGTTGATTACTTCAGATTATTTGAATTTTGTTCGGATAAATATTTATCCAAGATAAGTTTGAATTGTTTCGGATAAATGTTTATTTCAGATAAATTTGTATTGTTTCGGATAAATTTGTATAAGGTAATTAAAAAGATAATTAAGATAATTAAAAAGAATTTTTTCCCAGTGAATCCTTTGAGTAACAATTATTCATTATTCGTCATCAAATAATTCTTTATTCGAATGAATTATTCTGTTTATTCGAATAATTCTATAATTGAATAATTCTTCGAATAATTCTTTATTCTTTACAACTACTACTACGATCGTATAATGGTTATGTATAAGTTCTGCATACATTTTTGTGGGACGTATAATTTTTGTATAATTGTTGTATAATTTTTCATGTTTTTTCACTACAGAGTCTGAAAATCCTATATGTAAATAAATTCTAAATTCCATTAGGTCATTAACTATGAAATACATACTTTACTGTATAATTTTACTATAAAATCTATGCATTTCATACTTTTGATCACCTAATAAATACAGAAAAGCATATTTTCCATCTATTCCATTTTTCTTCGTTCGAGCAACGAACAAGTAACAATGGTCAGCGTTAACAATTTTTCCCGACTGAATGGAGAGGAAAGAAACATTGGCGCAGACAGAGAGCAAAGTATCGGGAAAGGGGCGGGAGGGTGGCGGGAACTCGAAATTACCCTGTAAATTAGACGACTCGAATTTACACCGCCTACGTATCCGCTATTTCACTTAAATCTCCGCGGCACAATGAGCAAATTTGCGCCCACCAGAGCCCGCGCCGCGGAATCGCGTGCACGCACAGTGATACACGACGTGTGTGTAATCATGCGAATCGTAGACGTTGGACCAGCCCATCCGGGGACCGAGGGATCATGCCCAGAGCGGCGTCATTTATCAGCCGGCGGCCTACCGCTCGTTTATTATTTCACTTTGCCGAGTATTAATTGAGATTTGGAGCCCGCAGCCAGGCGCATTCGTTCTACACACCTGGAATCGGCTCTCCAACCCCACCATTTGCTTTGCCAATCGATCGGTGATGGCCACTTTCGGCTGTCCGGAAGTCCCGAAAAATGTCACCGAACAAAAAAACGCTCGTTTTATTCTACAATCCGAGTTCAACAAAATCATTCAATACTCTTCTATTCGTTTCTCTAATCATTTTGCGATTGTTTTAATTTCGAATTGACATTTTCAAATTCTTTTCATCTTCCTACTATCTAAAATTGCAACTACTTAATTTTACTATAAATGCGTAAAATCCACGGTCTATTAATAATATTGTACTTCATAGTTTCAAGATATATTGTTACGCCTGCAACACAAATCAAGCTGCAAGTATCCAAGAAAGTAGAAATCTATAGCAATTTTGCTATTTGTTAATAAGAACATTAATTGAGTTTTTTAAAATCAATTTGAAATATACAGGTACCTGATTATGTACACGATGATTAAACTTCCTCCATCGTTCTTCTAGTTAATTCGAAAACTACTATGATCAAAGTTTACAATGCTTGAACACTAAAATCGCGCTACATGGTGGCACTTATTGCATGGTATTATACCTTGTACCGTTATTTTTATACCTGCCCAAGTTCGAGCGGCAGGGATCCAGTCAACCGGGAGACGCGCCATACCGCTGTGCGGGACCCTTGGCGCATGCGTCACCTACCCCATTCCTTGCGTAACTTATTTTCCTGTGAACACTGCTCCCAGTGCATGCGTCAGCTAACCCCACCCCTTCGACGTCAAATCTGACTTATTTTCCTGCGAACGTTGTCAATATCTTAACGTTGACAAGAGTCGCAGCACTCTGACTGGTCAAAACCGGTGAAAAGTCTGACCAGCTCGGGAATCTGTTGCAGACGGAGATCGAGGCGGACACCGAGTGCCCGGACAGCATCCTCTGTTCGAATAACAACAATAACACCACGAACAACAACAACAACAACGTGCCGAGCATCAAGAAGGGCGGCGGCGGGGGGATCGTGAGCAGCGAGGGCCACGATGGCATGGAGATGGACTGCGGTGGTTGCGGGGAAAGCGTGCGCGAGCGCACCGTCCTCTGCGTAGGGGGTCGTACCTGGCATTCCAGGTGCCTCAAGTGTTGCGCCTGTGCCAGACCTCTGCACGACCAGCACTCATGCTTCCTCCGGGGGATGAGGCTTTATTGCAGGCACGACTACGCCTTGTAAGTATAACGCGTTTCTATTTGCGGATACCTTCGCAAGCCCTTCGCAGTCTCACAGCAGTTCCTGCACGACTTCGACGCCGTCGAACACCTTCGGGTAACGAACATGGACGCCGGACACCTTCGATCTTAACCCTGCTTAATTATTATCTTATTCGAAACATTGATTTCCATGCATAGGATCGAAAGCAGGAACCCACAAAATTGCAGTCTATTGAAGATTCCTGTGAAAAGAATCGCTAAAATTTCTGCTTCAGCTTCTAGGATCTAGAAGAGTACAGTGTTGTGTACAATTATAGACTGTAAGTAACTTTTCAATTTTGTAACTGATGTAACAAAACGAAAATTTAGCAAAATGTCATATTTCTTTATTTCTGTTTTCTGTTATTTCTGATATAGAAATATACGAATGTGGTGTTTTGTTAAGTTTTCATTCAAGTATCGCCAAAATTGTAAAAGTTACTTGAAGTCTGTAATTGTTTACATCACTGTATGAGCGACGGTTAATGTGGGGTGACCAATTGCTGCACCTTTGCTTCCTTTTCGAGCATAATTAACATTACATTCATCGAACAAGACATATTACATTTTTTCATAAAAAATAAATAAAATGAAATAATGAAAAGATTTGATACGTCTTATTCGATAGATATAAAATTAAAATTTAATTTTGGAGAACTAACTTTATATTTATAATATAAGGCAAATTAAATCTTTTTATTAAAAAATAAATGAAATGAAAAAGTAGAAAAATATATTATTCCTTATTCGATAAATATAATGTTAATTATGCTTGAAAACAAACTAAAGACATAACAATTGGTCATCCGACAGTAACCGGTTCCACTAGTCTAATCAAATTGAAACTGTCAACACTAGAATTACCAAACCAAACGAAATGACTGGTTTCTGACTTCTTCTTTTACAGTTTCCGATAAAGTAGAACTCGAACTTATCTGAACTCCATTTACTGGAATGAAATTTCGGGCAATGCCAGATATAGCGATCTTCTGCTGAACTCCTGTTATCTCAACTACTGCGTCGAGCGTCACTCCAATTATCTGAAGACCTGGGTAAAGTGTTTGGTTAAATCCATTTATTTGAACGCGATTTCCGGTTATTTAAACGAAAAGTTGCATGTAGTATTCATATAAATGGAGTTCTACTGTATTGTAAAAATATTTCTATGAGACATGTTTAGATAAAGTTTCTTATATAAGAATTTAATATACGGGATGTCCCAAAATTATTGTACAAGCGGGAAATGAGGGGTTCCTCAGGTCATTTGAAGTAACTTTTTCCTTAGCGAAAATGCATTACGAGTTATTAACGAACAACTGTGACCGCTCGTTGGCTCAGCCGCTTGGCGCCAGCTGATCTTGCCTCTTATTGGTCACTGTTTTTCGTTAATAACTCGTAAACGAAGCCGCGGATTGCATTTTCGCTAAGGAAGAAGTTACTTCAAATGACCTCAGAAAACCCTCATTCCTCGCTTGTATAATAATTTTGGGACATCCTGTATATTAAATTCTGGGACACCCTGTAACTGACTAAACTTCTATATTCAAGCTTATATTAAATTAGAAATCGTACAAAATCGTACAGAAATCAACGGAAATATAAATCTCGGTTTACTCGACAAACTAGCACGAAATTGTATCTTTCAATTTGTCCAGGTAATTCTGTCTGTAATTTTGGGAAACTTGGCGCTCGAAGTGTTAAAAGACGGTCACTGGAGCTCGTGTAAAGAGGACAGACGATATTGGCGAGTCACGAGCTTTTAATCCGAAACGATAGCCCCCGGAATCGATCCCTCGGGAGCTGTTCGTGGAATCTTTGTGGCCCGTTGCGCGACAGGGTGTCCGAGATATCGGTTATGCTGGTGTCAGCGTACCTCGCGAGATCGGTCCCATAAGTCGAACAAATGATGGTTCTTTCCAGGAGCACCGATGGTAGCCGAGAGGGGAACATCCTCTTAAGCTCGGCTGTGCTCGTACCAGTGGGGTGTCTCCACCGGCTACGACGAGACAGAGCATTATTCGATTCATCGATAAACCCTCGTGTTGCTCCCGGATTCCGGAACAACTGTCGCTCTTGACAGATTTAATCAATTGGATCTCGACTTTACACGAGCCTGCCTTTATCTCCGCTTCGGCGCAGGCGTTACGGTTTGTTCTCTCCGAAACCGTAGGTTCGAGCTGCATCTATTAGCTAGCCTAATCAGATTTTTCGTTCTTCACTCCAGTATGACGGTGTTGTTGCGTACAGTAAATGAATATTACGAGCTAATAGATGCAATGCAATTGTTACTTATTTAAATTGACAAAATATTTTACGACATATTTAGAAAATATATAAATCATTCCAATGTCCCTTAGTTGCACCATTGTTAAATATACAATTCATATATCCTGTTAGTTGTTACACTGTTCTTTTTAGTATATCCTGACACCCTTAGTCTGCTACATATAAAAAACGTTATAAATATCATCGAAACTAAACTGTGCAAATACGGAATATTTCGTCTTACCAGGATAACAGGTTAAAAAAAGAACGACTACACGACCATTACACGAGTACATTAATAATCCGTACGATTTGGAGTTACGTTCGATCGACGGACGGCATCGAAAAGCAAAAGGTCCCGTTTACGAGGTCCGAGCGATTACACGTTAAACGATTACAAAGCGATTCCGAAAGGGTGGTGGTTTTCGATCGGGAACACGGCTACACGTATAGATATATGTGGCAGGCATGTGGGTGCCGAGTCACGAGTAAAAAGACTGGCAGTGTTCCCGAGGAACCGATGGAATTCGCCTCGTAAGCCAGCTCTCCCGGGGCCAGCTGTGAATTTCTCTCTTTTGCCCACCCTCTCGCGCGATCGTCGTCGGTGCTTTTCAGTCGAGGACCGAGGACGGGTGTCTTTTAAATTAATAAATATTCGCCGACGCTATTCTCCGACGATCCGGCCCCTCTCCCACCATTTCTCCTTTTCCCCTTTCGGAGCCACCTTTTGGGACCCCCGCCGGTCGTTTCCCTCGCGCGTCGCTTCGACCGTCTCGACCGGAGTACAAAACGAGGCGAGGAAAGAAACCGAACGCGAGCTCTCCGGGACCAGAAATCGCTCTATTAGCGGGGTCCTTCGGGGACCGTGCGGATTCCGGTTCTCTTAATTCAGTATGCCCGAAAGATCGCGGACAGCGAAACGGCCGCCGCCTTAATCACAACCTTATCGTATTCGCCTTAATGGCACTTAAATGCGAATGCCTACGCCTTCCGTAAAAAGGACCCGATCCCAATCGCGATGGCTGATCTCCGACTCCACCCCCTCGGGCCCCGTCGCCGAATCATCCGGACGATTTCCTGAATACCCTTCGGGAATAATCAGCTACGGACCGCTTCTCTCGACTGCTTCCTGTTCGCCTTTCGTGACCATACTTCGGCCTCGCGAGTTTCCTTAATTGGGCACAATAGGACCCGAGGAAAGCTGCCCGAATTGCTTCAAATGGCAACAAATTTTTGGGACACCTGCGCTTTCTTTTATTTTGATCGTGTTATGATTTACTTTCTGAATTGATGATACTTGTTTTCTGTACTAGAATTCCATGTTTGTATTCAGCCTGTTCCCATCGTTATTTTCTGTAAAAAAAGCTCTCGCAATTTTGTCAATTTCTCAAATTTTTCAAATTTATGTTTTAGCAAACATTTGTTCTATAACAGTTTCATCCCGAGACTTCAAAGAGAAGTTATTAATAGATCGGTGGATTTTATGTATTCATGACAAAACTGACTAGATCAAACAGATTTTATATATTCGCAACAAAAATGACTGAATCATATCCAAGATGGTTAAAACGTGCGAAGTATTTGAGAATACTGTTGCATTAATCTAATCTATGTATTAGATTATCTTACTCGAAACATATGTGGGCTTATAAGTGAAATTGCTTCTTGTAGTTTCTTATAAAAATTCCTTATAAAAATTTCTGATTGTTAAAAATTTTATGAGAAAATTCTCCCTCATCTCAGTCCGGAAGACTGTCAGGTAGCAGAATCGGGCGTATTTTATTCGAATAACGAATGCAATTTTATTCGTAGAATTTACTTGAAATTAGTCGAATGAAACTTTATTTATGGAATTTATTCGTGAGATTAGTTGAACAAAATCCGGTTCGAAAAATTTATTCGAAATGTTGTTCGGAGCTCTGACAGGTAGTCGTAATGGAAGGCGAGGTGTTAACATTTGAGGGGCAACGCGTGACAATAGCGTATCGGAGCAGAGTTCGATCGAGCGTGCCGGTCGATCGCGGGCTCGGTTACAAAAGCTTCGTGGCGTAGGATTGGGCGAAACACGGTCGGCTCGTTTCTGCTTTCGTTTTTGGTTACGAAGGGACCCGTGACCGCGAGAAAAAGTCAGTTGAGATGTCCTTTATTCGTGGCCCCGGCCATCGGTGCTGGGGCTTCAAACGTCGCAACGTGACTCGCAGCTCGCAGCTCGCGCGAGAGCATGCGTGGTACACGTATATATGCTCGGTGACGTGAATAGCTGGTCTGTACGTGAGGTCCGAAGAAGAAGAGGAAGATGACGAGGAAGATGGAGAAGGTAGAAAACCGGGGAGACTACGTCGAAAACATTAATCACCCACCGGCGAACCACTGACGCGCCCACGTGACGGCCACGTGACTCAAATTGCGGACAGATTTTAGCGAAATTAGCTCTGGCTATCTGTTCTTGGAGCCCTCGTTACAGCCTGTGACTAATTATCCGTCAATTATCACATTATCATAAAAATCAGCGTCGCATTGTTGCAGACTCATTATTTAGTCACAAAATCGTCGATAGTCGCGTCGACTGTCCTGATATTTTGGAAAAATTAAATCTCTACGCATCATCTTACTCCCTTAGGCATATTTCTACCTCTCTTCCCGAGCTTCACCGTACGCTCTATGGTTACCATAATTGTTTCAACCGTCTACTAGTTAATGCATATCGCTATGGA